GTAACATCATTCCCTGTGATGTTCTTTTAGTTTTTTTTTTTTTTTTTGCTTAGATTTTTAAGCTTAGCTTTGTTTCTTGATTTCTTGATTTATTTATTTTTTGTTTGTTTGTTTGGATGCATTGTTTGGTTTTTTTGTTCAGTTTTTTTTTTAGTTTAGTTTTCATTTTGGGTTGGTTTTGTTCTGTAGTTTTTGTTTTGTTTTGTTTATTTTGTTTAATTTTTTTAGCATAGTTTTGTTTTCTGTTTTTTTATTATGTTTTATGATTGTTTTTGTATTTGTTGTTTTGATTAGTTTTGTTTTTGCTTGGTTTAATTTTAGTTTTTTATTTAGGATTTTTTTTTTTTTAGATCTATCTTTCTTTCTTTCTTTTTTCTTATTTTCCCCTCACCCTCTCTGAACATACCAGTGACCCATTATTGGGTGGAAATTGTCCCTCCCGCTCATACTACCTGTGACCAACTACCAGTGGCTGAAATGCACTCATTTTGAAAGTTTTTTTCATTGCTTTCGTCCACGTCACAGGCTGTGCGAGGTTATGCCAGGCTGTAACGTAAACTAACGGCTATTGCATGCTAAAATAGGGGAAGTCCTACTATATATGGTCTTAAATGTCTGATTAACTATTTTAGATTAACTAGTAAAACTTCAAAAAATATATATTAATAATTGTAATAAATTTAAATATATATTATGTAATGTATTTTGAATAAAAAGTTTAAAGGTAAAAAAAAAAAATCTTATTTTGATTTTTTTGAATGTGAATAAACGCACAACTGTTTTGTCATTTTAGTAAGTAAATGTATCGTTCGCGCTTGTGTTGCAGAAATAAAGAGACCAGTCGAGATGAGTTCATCTTCTACTCTAAGAGGTTAATGCGGCTCCTCATCGAGAGAGCGCTGTCCTTCCTTCCCTCTCAGGTGAGAAAAGAGTTACAGACCAAGTGAAGATGAAGGGATTGATGAGGAATCTTTAGATCGACCTAATAACGACACGCAAACGGATTTGAGCGTGTGGGCATGGAGGCCTCGTCTTGAACATGGAAACTTGTCTCGCTTGTCCACCGCAGTGGAAACTCAGACTAACAAACTCAGCATGATAGAAATCGGCTTAGCAACGCGCAGCAGCAAAACAGCGACCTTTACACTTAAAACACTCACAGGAAAAGTGCAGTGAGCTAGTGAGCTTCATGATGTTGCTGCTGACATTTTACTGTGGCTTTTAATCAGAGAGGAAGATCAGTTTAGCTGCATATGAATGATATGCCTGGACAAAAAAAGCTTGACGTTACAGTTTGTCTGTTATCTGCTGCAGGTTCACATTGTTCAGACCCCACAAGGAGAAGATTACGAGGGCCGAACATTTCATGGGAAGGGGGTAAGAAAATAATGTGCCACGGAAAATGTCTTTTTGGACAATCTCTTGGTGGTTCAGCCTAATCAATCTGCTTGTTTGGCGATTTTCTTTGTCATACAAAAATGTCTTTGTTCTGTGTGGTGTAGAAAAGTTTAGACTCTCCCTCTTCTTTGTTTTGAGCAGATTACGGGTGTGTCGATTCTCAGGGCGGGAGAGACCATGGAGCCCGCACTTAGGGCCGTGTGCAAAGACGTCCGCATTGGCAAAATCCTCATCCAGACCAATCAGGACACAGGAGAGCCTGAGGTAACGCCCCTTTCTGCTCTTACTACCCCCCCAGAATTTACACACATCAGATCAAGTCAGATGAAGTCAATTTTAAATGTATTTATTCATTTGGTAGCACTTTAGTTTAGGGGCCAATTCTCACTATTAACTAGTTGCTTATTAGCTGCATATTACTAGCATATCAGCTGTTTATTATTACTTATAAAGCGCATATTAATACCTTATTCTGCATGACCATATTTTAGATCCCTTAATCTGACCCCATACCTAAACTTAACAACTTCTAATAAGCAGCAAATTAAGAGTTTGAGGCAAACGTTATAGTTATTAGTTGTAACAACGTTCGTAGGTCGGGAAGAAGGAGGCGGGAACCGGCGAACATTTAAATACTTTAATAACATAAACAAACACAAAATGGAAGTAAAGCGGCAGCCCCTCGCGGACGACTGCCGCACACAAAACACAAAATAAAGTCCAGGCCTGGTCCTCTCTCGTCTTTCACTGTTGACTCGTCACTCCTCCTTTTATCCTTCCGGAGCTCTTCCGTGGGACTCGAGACCGGTGAGTGGTGTAGGTGTCGCTCATTATTAATTACTTCACCAGCCTCGCTCCGTTCCCACGGCTCTCGGCCCCGCCCCCACTCGTCACATTAGTTAATAGTGAGAATTGGTCCCCAAACTAAAGTGTTACCATTTGTTTATATATTTAAAGTGTTTTATTTTAAAGATTATTGTTAAACGTTTTCTGAGCAAGACATTTCAGTGTCACAGTATTTTGTGTTATTTCACAATTTATAGGTATTTTATAGTTTATAACATTTCTTTTTTTTCCTTTTTTTCTTTTTGCTGCTTTAAAGTGTAGTATCTGGGTTTTTTTTCTTTTATTAAAGTTTTTTTTTAATTTAACATTTTGATTTCATTTTTTTTATTTAATATTTTGGATTTGCAGTCAATTAAATAATTCAAATTAAATCAAATTCAAATCTCAATTTATTCATAGTTGACATATTTAGTTTATTTTCTAGGAAAGAAAACTAAATGTGTGATTAGTGTAGTGGAATATGAAGATTTGTATAAGATTGTATAAGACAGTGAAAATACGAAATCTGTCTGCAGCAGTGCTTTAGTCTTACTCATATCTTTCTGTTCTTCACAACAATCAGTGCTGGGGAGTAACTAGTTACATGTAACAGTTACGTTATTACAAAAATGTAACTGTAATCTGTGAGAAAAAAATGTGTAATTAAATTACAATTACTTATGAAAATGTTAACGATTGCAAAGGGGGATACATCTGAATATTTTCACACGCACACCCACATACAGATTTAATTGATATCTTTCATAAATTGCAATGACTCCTCTAAAATATGAGACACCAATGTTGCAGGGGTTTAGGACACAGAATAGGACAAATGTTATTCAGTAACTGCTTCATTTCTTTTTGAGTTTATGTATATGCTTTATTTTTTGAGATTAACTTTTTTTTTCTTCCAAGGCATTGTTAGTGTTTCCTGTCATAGCTATGCAAAGATTTAATGTCAAAAACAGTATCATGGCTATTCAACTATTTTTTTTATTATTTTAAATCTGTAATTAACCTCAGGACTATCTAAAGTTAAGTAAAAAGCCGTGCTAAAGTCTGATTTTGTGGTGCACTAGTTGCACTATTTGCGTCTGCCCAAAGACATCAGCGAGGATCACGTGATTCTGATGGACTGCACTGTGTCCACCGGAGCCGCAGCCATGATGGCCATCAGAGTTTTACTTGTAAGTCTGCATTTGAGCCTTTTTTCCCCGCACAGCACACTGATAGTGTGCAGTGGCAGAGACACACACGCCTACACAGGCACCGCATATAGAGCGGCCCAGTTTGTTTGTCTGTCAGTCAGTGTAGGCGTAGCAGAGAAACCTCACTAGCTGACAGCAGCCATAGAGCGTGACATAACTTTACACATTCTCACATATTCATTCTACAGAGCTGTATTTATAAGTTTCTATGACCGTTTTTGGCACCGGTGGAAGTTTAACAAAATAAACCCTCGGGGGAGAACACATCGTTCACGCTCTCACAAGTTTAAATATAATTAATCTACTAACACTGAAGATGCATGAACTAAAAAAATTAAATCATCCACATCTGTGATTATATATTAAATGCAATAACTTCTGTGGCGGAAATGACTTTTTTTGGAATTAAATGGCACACTGTTCAATAATAAAAAGCACAGGTATAGTGGAGGAACGGGACAGTCATGAAGTGTGTGTGTGTAGGATCATGACGTTCAGGAGGATAAGATCCTGCTGGTGTCTCTGCTGATGGCTGAGATGGGTGTCCATTCTGTGGCCTACGCCTTTCCTCAGGTCAAAATCATCACTACCGCCGTCGACAAGAAGGTCAACGACCTGTTCCACATCATCCCCGGCATAGGTGAAACTTTCTCAGCATTACTTATCTGCTTAACTGTGGCTTCTTGTCCTAAAAGTTCTACACAAACGGGCCATTCTCACAAAACCAGCCTTGAGCATGTCTGGCTCATATTTCACCCCAAATCATAAAAAAATGAATAAATTATACTTTGCTTAATGGAAAGTGAAGACTTTTTACAGTACCTTTAGAACCATTAAAGGGGTCATCGGATGCCCATTTTCCACAAGTTGATATGATTCTTTAGGGTCTTGATGAAAAGTCTATAGCATACTTTGGTTAAAATTTCTCAGTGGTAATGTAAAAAACACAATTTTTACCCTGTCAAAAACAGCTCTGTTTTCAGCAAGCTGTTTTTTAGTCCATGTCGCTTTAAACGCTAATGAGCTCTGCTGACCCCGCCCCTCTCTTCCGTGGGGTGACGAGCAGACTGTAAACTTCAGCCGCCAAACTGGCTAACTAGCACATTATTAGGAAAGGCTATTTGCAAAGATTCATAAAAAAACCCTTATACTCACTTCTTCTGTAGATGAAGCTGGATCACGAATGATTCGCATGAACATAGACGCATTTAGGCAGATCGGGATCGGCGCATTCCCTTCAAAAACGAAAGTAATGTTAATCCTCTGCGTCTTCAGCGGCTGAGATGTCAGGAGTAAATGACGACTGCTATATTCATTATTACATCCAACAAAAAAACACCTCAATCGCTTAATCTGAGACATTCTTGTCTTCCCCGGCACCTGAGTCGACACAATGGCGGACAGCTCACAGCTCACTCGGGGCGGGTCTTAAGGTAAGATGCTAGTGTCAATCAACTATCGTGGGAGCGACCTGTGCAGAACTACGTCATTGTGACAGGAATCTCAGAACAGCCTGATTTGAGAAAGAGGATTTTTAAATAGGGATTTTTAAAAAAACCACTGGGTGGATTTTTATCATTATAGG